AACGTTTTAAAGTATTAACAGTCATTTTTATAACAATTAACTTATTTCGTAACGGAGGTTAGCATAACGGACGTAAGGTGACACGCATTCTTTTTCAGTTTTTATCCTCGGGATAACTTTGCATAACTATTGAATGAATTTTTTAGGAAGAAGTTGGTCCTTGCTTAACAAAAATGATATTTTTAACTTTCTAAAGCAACATTTTCTTCAAATTTGATCCGTTACTGAGGTTAGGCTCTTAAATGCGACACCCTTGTGAGTTAACATTCTCTATGATGGAACGCATCATTCAAAATTAACAAATAGCACTGTTTTATTAAACATCATGTATTATGAGTTTGAAAAATGCACAGGAAGGCCATTTAAGAGCATTTTCTTTTATTCTTACATTGACTTAAAAAAGCGTTACGGAGGTTAGGGGTTACTGAGCGACATTGATTAAACTATGACAGTGACGTAACTAACAACAAATTCGACAGAGAACACCATGTATGATAAAAAGGAACATGAATCCAAATTAGTTGAGGACTAAAAACACTAAAACATGGGAAAATATAAACTTTTTCTTGTGGCAAATAAGCTATAATACCGAAGCGACACGTCGGAATCGTGCTTTTTGCGGCATATAGACCCCCGGGGTTCCCGTCAAAGCAAGTGGTACTATATTAATTGTTGTTTTTTAAGTAGAACACATCGGGTCCTGCTAAAAAAGGGTAAAAAAAGCAAAATTGCAGATGCTTCTACTACCGAAAATAAGCTGCGACAGGTATTATTCAGAATTGTACCCTTTTTCGTGGAATGGCTGATATACGTTACTCAAACGCTTATTTACGGGACTCAAATCATCATATACTCAAGTCAGTGCTCATTATACATTACTCATCCGTTGTGCTTACGTTGACATACCCCTCATATACCGGGTACTATGGCATGCCCTGAAATACGACCATACTGTAAGTGCTACCCATTGGATATTCAAACACAAGTTATACAACATTAACACGCTATTAATAGGCTATTTGTACATCTTATACAATTCTTCTCATACGTTTGGAACCAACGATAGACGCTCAAAGTAGTGCGTATAATCGAATTTATACACAATATTCGTACGTACCTCTATCACGATTGGTGAGACAGAGGTTAAACAGGGATGTCGCTTTGCTCTGAAAAAAAATATATATATATAAACAGTAGACATATTTTTACAACTTTATAACAATATTTTAAGAACACGGATGGCAAACAACGTTTAATAAAATTTTGGTTATTTATTATTATTATTATTATTATTATTATTATTATTATTTTGGAGGGCCTTCACTTTCAAAAGGGCACAGAACACTTGTAACTGTGTACCCGAAAAGAAATATACACACTTGACATTTAATATGGGATATTTTTTTTCCAGATCATTTTTCATCAGTTTTTCCTATTTTGCTGGCTGATAAATGAAACTAAGGATTACAATCGTGTTTTAACAACTTTTAATTATCTATTTGATGTCATTGTGACATCAGTTCATTAATGGAATTCGCCAGTGAAGCAAACAAAAAACACATTGCCTATTCCATGCCATACGACAACCATTAAAAGAGGTATTTTGGACCTCCATGTTTCCCAAATTATTGTCTGTAAAAGAGTTACACGCTCCACAAAGGACCCTCATGTCAGTGTCTAGTCACAGTAACGGTCGTTGTTACGTCTGACCTCTTGTGGCTGCTACCAGTGCTTTCAAGAGGCAAGGTATTCCTTGGGATAGGTTTTTAAAGTTCAATCTGGAATAACATTCCAGACATCGGTCAAAATCTGTCCAATTTGATCCAGTTTTGTTGTAGGACATGTAGGCCATTGATTCGGCGAGTAATGGCCTACCCACATATTGTCTATGTGCTTCAAATATGGCGATTTTGATGACCAAGGTAGCTGCCCATTCACTTGCTTCTGTAAGTAATCTGCTATTAAAAGTGCTCTGTGTGAACCGACAACCTTATCGTACAACCTAAAATTGTTCCTAAGTTGCCCCCTATCAAATTATAGCCGAGTGGTTCCCAGGTTATTTCTTTATTTGATCTGGTTCAGGTTTTCGTCGGTTTTGGCACCAATGTGGTACCCATTCCAAATACTGACGCTGTTAATGACCTTAATCACTTTAGATGCGGCAAACGCTTCATCGTTGGCCTCTTCTGGATATCTGTAAACTCTGTTTTGACTGTTGAGCGGAGCAGGTAAAATTTGACCTCAATAAAGAAAGCCACGAGGTTTCAGTGTTCAACCCTGAAACAGTCAGGGTCCCCAATTCATTAGAGAAAGATACCACGATGTTTTGCTGTTTACAGTGAGTACCTCGGAGGTCTTCTGGTATTCTAACCTGCTAAAACCAATTTGGTGTTCGCTAAGGGCCTGGAAAATGCGTTTTGGTGGCAATTTTCCCCTCATTCTGAACGTACTGGGTGCTTTTTGTTTAGTTGCAACAGCATATCCCGAAAGACATTGGGTCCTGTACCCTGGTGGTAAGATTTCAATACATTGGGTGTGGCCTCTGTGTGGGTACATCAGTTTCGCCATTACTCTATAAAACTGTGCGGACCGTTTCGTTTGGCGCAATTATCTGTCCGGCAATGCCTGTCTTTTTCGCACCATTCTGCCACAGATTAACAAATTTGTGACGCAATGAATAGCTCATTTTACTCACTGCAAACCCGACCACTTGCATGCAAAAAATTTAATTCATCTATTCAGTAGTTGCCGACATATGGATACTCTTTTTATAGAACCATGCTTTGCCAAAGCCAAGCTTTGACCTGCCCTACCCAATTAAATCACTGCATATTACATAATGCAGCAGCGCAACAAATCTGGTATTCAGTTAATTGGTAGCAACACAGCTGACTACACACTTATATGAAACCTGAGTTTGTGAAAAAAGAACGCATTTTCACCTAGGCATACCTTCCAAACTAAAATATTCCATATTAAATGTCAAGTCTTCTCCATCCAAGTGTACCGCAAACTTTCATAGTCCCATTCGTAACAAGAAAGAAGGCAACAAAGTATAATGATTCGAGATTTGGTCAAACAAGGCAAATGTTGTTATATAACCCTACTACCCTAATCATTTGAACAATAATAACTATGTAGCAAATTGTTGCCTGTATTAATGTTATGGCCTCGGGTATATATAGTCTAATTATATATATAACTAGACTAATCATCTTACAAGCTATGAAGTAACGAGTCAGCAGAAATTTTGAGCGAAACATGGAAAGGGAAAGGTGTCGTTTCTCTGTTATTGCAATTGTATTTCGATGTCTACATTTGTTTCAATTCAAAAAAGATTTTGATAAATAAGCTTCTGTGTAAGATATGAATTGCAATCAAGTCTGACACGTTTACATTTCTAGCTGACGATGGCCAGCTTCGACTGATGGACGGTAACGGCTACAACAGCGGCCGTGTGGAGATCAAGTTTGCCGGAATATGGAGGCGCATTTGTGACTATGGATGGGGAAGCAACGACGCCGCAGTTGTCTGCCGACAGTTGGGATATAGCGGATATGTTAGAGCCGTGACAGGTAGAACAGCATATCTTTCGTTTTTATAATTAAAGATGTACAACTTACGGGATTTTCGAGCCTAATATAAGTTGAATATGCTAACTAGTGAAGCCGGGCTTTGCATTTGAATTCCATGTTTTGTACCATTTCTAATTTTAAAAATAACTCAGCTTTGAAAAAAGGAATCAGAGTTTATTAAGACCTTGCCTTATGATATATGAGAAGGATACAATCGACATTAGAGGGGTGCCATCGCGCTGAATTGCAAAACATTTGTAGCTTTGCAGAATATTTAGAAAATAGAATATGACCAGGCTAGTAATTTTGAATTTGATGAAGGGACGTGTACGAACTTTTGGGATTTTGCCTCCATGTACGTTCCTTTATAGCAGTTTTTATGTACAGACACAGATGTGTCTGTACATATTGCCATTACCTGCGTCTGTCGTCGCCGTCGTCGCCGATGCCGATGCCGATGCCGATGGCGATGCCGTCGCCGTGCACTTTCACTGTAAACACGATAATTGGAACACAGTTTTATTTTTTGATTTTATATTTACTGAGCTGATGATCGAAAATCAGCATGATCGGGCCATTATAGTAGAAGTTATGCTGTTTTTTCACTTTTCAGCATATTTTCACTTTTCAGCATATATGCAACACTGTTAACACATTTTAAGGAAAACCGTTAGGCCTGTTGTCATGAAACTCACAGGAGTAATCAATCTTACTAAAACGCAGGTCAAGTTCGAAAATCGGCATGATCGGGCCACTATTTTAGTAGTTATACTGTTTTTTCATTTTTCAGCATATATGCAACACTGTTAACACATTANAAAATTCGGTGTTGACTGACAGTGCTATTATAAGCATTATTTATTATTGCATCAAAATTGACAAATTGACCTATTTTGCATCTTTTTTTCCTGTTTTTTGTCTGTACATTTGACAGCTTTGCTGCCTTGTTTCAAAAAGTATGCAGAAATTTAAAAGGATAACAACTGTTCATTTTGACCAAAAATTGAATATTCCTGTGGTAAATGACAATTTTCCCACATAAACAATGGTTAATGAATCTATCTCTACATTCAGAGTTAGTCCCTTTTTTTTCTAAAATTTTTTTTTTTTTTTGTTATGTTATAATCTCTTAAGAGATTATTACAGAGTGTAGCTATCTATGGAGGTCACAAGGCACAGGTTTCAGAATAATTTCTACAACTGCCATTTTTGTGGTAAAATAAAATATATTATATTTTTGTGAGCTGTTTACAATTATGTATATATTGTGAAATGTAGATTTCACATGTAGAGTTGTTATCCCTTTAATCACTTCAAAAGCATAATGCAAAAAATGTAATAAATCAGTGAGTAATTAATTAATATGATCAGTTGCAATTAAATTATGTGAGTACTCATTTAATTTTTTCCTAATTGATTCCCTAGATTTTAAACAGCACTACACTTATCCCTGTTCCCGAAGAGATGCGTTATCATCATGGCAACCAAAGTGCCAGTGGCTATGCTCTGTTTGTCCCAGAAAATGAAACCACTGAAGCAGACACTGTATATTACATTGGGATCACTTTATTAAATACCAGTGATTTTGAGAACAGTGAGTATGGACGGTGATTTTTTAAAAGAAAATTGATTATTTTAATTATTGTGGACTTTTACTAATTCTTAATTTTTTAAGTTCATTTAAAATATATATACTGCATTTAATTATACATTTTATTGTATGTTAAGTTATTTATGTAATGGAATTTATTTCAATTTTATATTTGGTCAATTACAAATAAATTCATATAACTACTGGGCATTTTTTATGGTACTGTAGTTTATTAGGGATTTTAACACAAATATATTCCAATAAAACAAGATCAATCTTCAACGTTTTAGCTGATATTTTAGGGACCATTCCCACAGATATTTGGATCGATCTATCTCCCTGGAGAATCTCACTAAATTGCTATCAACTTAAACTGCTTAAATATCTGTCACACCTAGTAAAGCTGTTAAGGGGTAATTATCTATACCCCTGAGCTGATTTGGTATTGGTATTGGTACTATACTCCATCACTGTCTGTGATGGATGACAGCTTATTGGTGGATACTGTGCTCACTGTGCTCCATCACTCTCTCTCTCTCTCTCTTTACACTGTAATATATTTTTGTTTACATTCAATCATTTTAATTTGATGACTTTTTCCTCATCTCCCTTTACTGTGCCCCCTTTCTGATAATAAGCAATTGTTTCTATGTTACAATACAACAGGGCACATAGATGTTAATGAGAATGTCCAACTTCTGGTCACAGTCCATTCCAGTGCCTGTTTGTTCTGGGATGAGCAGAAAGAAATCTGGAGTAGTGAAGGTTGTAAGGTAGTCAGCTTTTTTGTTTAAATATAGATGAATTGATAGAATAATAAATAGATAAATAAATATGAAAACACCAGGGATTTCACCTAATACTCTTTCCAATTTTTGCTACCAAGTCTCTTATAGAAGATGTCTTCTCCAAACACAATCCAACAATATCTCACCTAACACATTTCCCACTTTCTGTATCCAGGTTTCTCCCCTCAGCACAGCTGTTACTTTACACTGTATCTGTCATCACATGACTGTGTTTTCTGGCAGTTTCTTTATTCTGCCTAATGCTATTGACATTGTGGCAGACTCTGCTCTGTTCTTGACTTTACTTGAGAACCCACTGGTGGTGAGCATTGTGCTGTGTGTATGGGGCATCTACCTGGCAGTTGTTATCTGGGCACGCAAGAAGGACAGGGAAGACCTTCTTAAGGTGAATGTTCCTCTGATTTTGATATACAAAATTGCTTGGGGATTGTGAGGGGATTTTATTTCAGTTTACCATGACTTTAGTGGGTCTCAGGGGGGTCCCTATTTGATTCCTTCTTGGCTGTGTAATATGTAGTTCAAAAAGTGAATGCACTCCACCCTACCCCGATGCAGTAGAAAAACAGCTGATGTTGAATATATTTATTTTGGTATTTATGCAACCAAATAAAATTTAATATGAGCATTATCTATATCAGTAATCAAAAAATTAAAGCAAAGCTTCCAGTTGCTCACATTTTGATGCTTTCAAATATTTTCAAGTAGATTAAGAAAATAGACCCAGCACAGGGGTGGATCCAGAGATATTTTCTGACAATCTTCCAAATTATCTTTGTTGATCCATCCTCCATTTTTGACCGTCTTCCGACAAAAAAAATTAGATACCCGTCAATGTTAACTTAAAAATGTGACCGTCTTCCAGAAGACCCAGAAGATGGCCTAAATCTGCCTAAATCCGCCCCTGCAGTATTCTGCACACTACAATTTTAGCTCAAATCCATTGCAAGATTTTTAGCTTCACTGTTGCTAATGACATTAATAGTAACAATTCTTTTCATGTCTCCAGGCTGGAGTGACAGTGTTAGAAGACAATGATCCAGAGAATAAGTATGGCTACCTTGTGACAGTTATCACTGGCTGGAGGACAGGGGGCAGGGACCACAGCTAATGTGGGCTGTTTTATTAAAGGTGAATTTGAAGCTGCACTAGAAAAGTGGTGAAAATGAATTACAAACCAATTCAAACTCTAATTTTACAGTAACAAGCTTGTCGCTTGTTTTGAATTTTTATTTTCCATTTCAAAGGTGAAAATGGTGAAAGTGACCGTCATGTCCTGAGTGACCCCAGACGTCCAGTATTTGAGAGCGGTGGCGTGGACAGTTTCCTACTGACCTGTGCCCAGTGCCTGGGTGACCTCCTCTCTTTCACCATCTGGCACGACAACTCTGGAGCTGCTCCTGCCTGGTTTCTGGAGAAATTGATGGTCAGGGACTTGCAGAGAAATGAGGTCTGTGAGTTCTTGTGTAACCGCTGGCTTGCTCTGGACCTGGATGACTTCTGCATCCAGCGCACCCTGCGCCCTGCCTCAGTGGAGGAGATGAAGGAGTTCTCGTACCTGTTCTCCAGTAACAGTGGCTTCAGCATGAGGGAGAAACATCTGTGGGTCAGTGTGTTCTCTTGTCCACCAAACTGTCCCTTCACAAGGACACAGAGACTGACCTGTGCTCTGACTCTTCTACTGACCACCATGCTGACCAATATCATGTTTTATGGCATCCCAACTGATGACCCAGAAGATCAGTACCAAGTAAGATTATTTGATTAATCTTTTTACCCAGCATATATCTATTTATTTATTTATTTATTTTAGGTGGTTTGTTTGTTGTTGTTGTTGCAGCTGCTTTAGAAAATGTTTGCTTAAAATGTTTGATTAAGTTTGATATTTATTGTAAAGACATTTATTATTGGTTTAGGAAATTTCATTTCTTCCATCCAGAGTATGATTTTAAGAATTTATGTAAAGGAAATTCAATTCCAGGTAGCAGATTTCCAGTTTTCTCTATCTGACATAATAATTGGTATTGAGAGTGGGCTGCTGATGTTCCCAGTGAACCTGGTCATAGTGCAGCTATTCAGAATGTGTGCTCCAAGACCTGTTAGTACACATAAGGAAGACATCATGCCCAGAACTTCCATGGAACAAAGAGATTCGGCTCAGATGTCAGTGCTAGGAGCAGATGTTAACCATTCACGGAGCAGAAATAGCAGTAGGGTCTCAGGGAATTTGATTGGTGATGGTGATGTAGATAAAGTACCAAATGCAACCTCTAACAGTGCAAATAAAAGTAATTTAAATACTGATGACCAGGCTGTTACAGATAGAAACATTGCACTCTTTATTGAAAATGAAAGTGAGAACAATTCCTGGCCTTACACTTTGGGTGTGGCCGTCCTTGCTGGAGGAGAAGTGACGGGTCAGGTGTCCACTGACCAGTCTCTGGACATGGGTGGACATTTTACCAGGGGTAAGAAAGAAATCCAGACTGTGGAGAACAGCGCTGGTGGATCAGGTGCTGGTGTCAGGCCATCTGACCTTAATTTCACCCTTGACCTTGACTTACTTCATGGAGAAAGCCCTGACATACCATTGATACATATGGTAGGTGCAATGCTCAGAGTGAAAGAAAATTTTCGAAAGTTGCAGAATTTTTCAATTTTTTTCCCCCCCTGTCACTTCCATCTGTTTTATGTCTCCTAGTTATTTTGTCATATAGTATAGGTAATTTGAAGTGCTGTAAGTTAGTATACTTAGTCTATATAGAACATGGTTAAACATTTTTATGTACAGACACAGATGTGTCTGTACATATAGTTGTCACCTGCATTTGTCATCGTCACAGTCGTTGTCGCTAGGAACTTTCACCGATAACATGATAAGTGGAAAACTATATTTTACCTTTTGGCTTGAAACTTACAGAACTGATGAATATTTATAATTAACGGGTTAAGTTTGAAAATCAGCTTGATTGGACTATTTTTACAAAAGTTATACCTTTTTTTCTGCCTTTTTTTGTACATAAGTGGTTTTTCTTCAGATTTAATTATTAGGCACGTTATCAGTCTCATTATATAACTAATTAGATTTTTAAAGGTGTTGTTTTGACATTTTCTGATTCTTAACAATATTGTTAGTTGATTATATAAAAATGACGCTAAACCTGTTATCGTGTATTGTGTAAAAAAGTGTCAAAAATGGAAATGAACTATTATTGCAGTCAGATTCAATCATTCACTAAGTTAAAGTCATAGTAACTCTTGGATTTTCCTGGAGTAAAAGGCAATTTTTCCGTACTTACCAATGGTCAATGACCCCATTCCTGTATTCAACGTTAGTCTAGGGTTTTTTCCTAAACGTTTGGTTTTTTGTTAAAATCTCTTAAGAGATTTTAACTGACAGAGCCCTCTCTGACATTGCATAGTCACACGATATCGAGTGATATTTTTGTGGTGACCTACTTAAAACCACGGGAAAAGCAGACAACAACAACAACACTATATAACAATAATATAAGATTCATCAGATAAATTCGTCTTATTGCTCAAAATGCATTTATATCTACATTGTGTGCAATTCTGGGCGTTTCGTTATTCGACGCACTGTACAAAAACTCGCAACTTACATCTGCGGATTGTATCATGTGTATGGCACCAAATGTTATTTTAGTCTCGAATGATGAGAGAATCCGCGTGACACCCCAACGTCATTGGCAATGGATGCCTTAACGACTGTCAAGAAAGGCATCAAAAGCCCTATTGACAAGCACTGATTTTAGTTTTACTACAATAACAGCCATTTTAGTGGTAAAATGCAATAGAATATATTTCCATGCATTGTTTACAGTGTATTTCTTGCGGAATTTTGAATCTAAATTGAATTGCATTTTGATATAATCGATGAAAATGGAATTTCCGTCGGGACAATTATTTTTTCCCCATCGAAAAGATGGAAGAATTACCATATACAGTTTTTGTGAAATTTTAATTTTTCACTTAACGACATTTTCAATGTGTGACTTTGAACTTCCATTGGCTTGAAGGCCTTTCAAGTCACATTTTCTGAATATCCATTATACTTTTATATTACCATTAAAAATTGATTATCATTTTACTGTTAAGCTTTATGTGATATTGCATCAAAATTGAAGAAAACCCTATTTTGGGCACTGCTTTTACTTTTATCGGTATTACCTGTTGTGCATAATTGAACTTTGATGTTGACTGTGCAGTTAAGCATAATGAATTATTGCATCAGAATTGACAGTCTCTTATTTTGTGCATTATTATTTTCTGCTTTTATATTTAAGGTGCTAGTCACATTTTGGTGGTCAGTCTGTAATTTTTCCCTTGGGTAATCACTAGCTAAGTTCAGAGGTATAAAGTCACTTGCCTAATTAAATTAAAGTGGCCATTAAATGAGATTATATAAAACACACTTGTTGATATTTCCCTGTAAACTCCCATAGGTTAAGCTCTCTGCCAGATAACAGTGATAGGAAGCAGTGATAATTATGCAGGTAAATGTTGTTTAATATTGCATATTATTTCGTGTAATGCCAACATTAATGCTATATCATGTTAATACAGCACAATTAAAAGCTTGAATAACAGCATTATTGGAGTTTTTTTTTATGTTTTCTTTTTAATTTTTCTTTTCAAACACTGGTATTTTTAAGATGTGACTTTTAACTCCCATCCAGCTGAAGCTCTGCACATTTTCTGAATTTCCACATAAGCAGTTGTATTGGTATTTGTCTTTAAATATTATGTAATACTATTTTATGCTCTGTCATCATTTTTCAAATACTGGGATTTTCATTATGTGAATTTGAACTCTCATGGTCCTGTAACTAATGTTATTGCAAGGGCAGATTGAGACCATCTTCTGGGTTTTCCGGAAGATGGTCAGATTTTAATGTTTACATTGACGGTATTTATTTTTTACATTTGGAAGTCCATCAAAAGTGGAGGATGGATCAACAAAGATAACTTGGAATACTGTCAGAAAATATCTCTGGATCTGCTCCTGATATTGAGCATTTTAGCTGTTTTGCATGATTAAAATTCTTTGTTTATTGACTGTGCTATTATAAGCATTATTTATTATTGCATCAAAATTTACAAAATGACCTATTTTCTGCATCTTTATTCTATTTTTTTTTTTTTTTGTCTGTACATTTGACAGCTTTGCTGCCGTGTTGTTATTTTATTTCATTTTGTTATATATATATATATATATATATATATATATATATGATAAAAAGAAATAAAGAACAGCAGTTATTTTGTATAATGTATATATATTATCTAGGACGATTCAAATGAAGTTTCTGTGATTACATTGGAGGAGGAAAAGAATACACCTTTCAGGTGAATGAAATTTTTGTCTTGTTTTTTTTTCTTTATTTTTACAAGTGAAGTGTTACTACTGAACTTGTGAGTGTAATTTAACTTTTATCCTCTCTCTCTCTCTCTCCTATTATACAGAAACAAGCATGCACACACACATGCACAAAGATCTTATTCATGCTGTATAGGTACCAGGACTGAATGTTAGTCATATATAATGTTTGCATGACTGTTTTACACTCCCATCCACACACCCCTGGCTGGTTCTTTATCTTAGATGATTTATCACTGTAGCTTTACTTTGTCTTCAGACTTTCATGGTGGTGTATCTACATAGCCTGGGTGGTGGCTGTGATAACATGTAGCTTTACTTTGTCTTTAGACTTCCATGGTGGTGTATCTACATAGCCTGGGTGGTGGCTGTGATAACTTGTAGCTTTACTTTGTCTTTAGACTTCCATGGTGGTGTATCTACATAGCCTGGGTGGTGACTGTGTTAACTTGTAGCTTTACTTTGTCTTTAGACTTCCATGGTGGTGTATCTACATAGCCTGGGTGGTGGCAGTGTTAACCTGTCTGGTCTGTTCTTACTACACCATGTTGTACGGACTCAAGTACGGACACAAGAAAAGTGTGCAGTGGGTGGTTGCCTTCTTTACAGGGTTCTTCCAAAGTGTGTGCATTACACAGCCAATTAAGGTGAGTAGCAGCAAAAAGGAGTCCATTTTAGAAGGGTGGTTCCTCAAAAGAAGTTTTGACTAGTATTTTGTAATATACACTTGAGATTTTTTTATATAATAACTACCCAGCAGGCATAGTTGCGTTGGATCAACGTTGAAAACAGGTTGATACCTTGAATTGCCATTGATCTACCTAAATTAAACATAGTATTAACGTTGATCCAGCCACGTCGAATCACCGTCATAATGTGATGTTGACTTAACGTTGTATTTTGGTCAATGACACAACCTTGCAGTTATGGATTGTAAATTAAAATATTAATTATTGAAAACCTGATACTTTGTTTATCAATACTGTAACTAAATTTATCAAAATAATAACAAAATGGTTTTAAAGTAAAAGTGACAGTTGTTTTGTGTCTTTAGTGAACTAGTGAATTTTGTTAACTTGTTATTCGGAAATACATTCCAATAAACTGAACTCCTTGCAAGGTCAGCTAACACTAGGATGAATAAGTTGCTGTAAATGTGATGTAGTGAATTAATAAAGTGAACAGTTCTTGGTAACCTGTTATAGTATACATAGACAAGTTGAGGTGACTGTGACCTTGTTACACACACACACGCACACACACACACATATATAAATCTTAACTTTGGAAATTTGAACTTTAAGGCCATACTTTTATACCTTACCCTCATTTCAATGTCTTTTCATGCAAGAATGTTGTCTAACAATTGGGGTTGATACAATGTTGATATCTGACGTTGATACAACGCTGTTATCTGAGGTTGAGTCAACTTTCAAATCCAATGTTTATCCAACGTCTTACCAACGTTATGGTTCAACGTTGTTTCAACGTTAAAACAACATATTTTGCCCGCTGGGTATAGGCTTTTCTTTTTAGTATTTTTTAGTTTAAAAATGTGTAGACCATTTTGATTTAGGATAAACTACTGTTTTCTTATTTAGGATATGGTACTGTTTTCTTATTTATTTAATTATTTTGCCTGTCTTATCTAAAATTCTGCATTCAGGTCATCCTGATTGCATTGTTGGTGAGCTTGATCCTGAAGAAAACAGTGGCAATAAATGAGGGGAAGAAGGATATACCGCTGAGTAAGAATATAGTTCATGTACTCAGTTACAGTACCTGTGTTTTGAATTAAGAAGTCTTCCACTTCAATTGTTGCAATCTAAGGAAAGTTTACTCTCTTAATTATTTTGAAATATTGATCACATATAGCTATTTTCCTGTGTAATTTAAACTAAGTACTTCCTAATTTGTTGCTGAAAATAGAAATATTCATTTCAAATTTTAAATTTTTCTAGTTTTAAGTTAGACCTAGAGTGGAAAGGAGTGTGAAAGTAACTCCATTTAATTTTGTTTTACCCCCACAGCTGAAGATGAAAAATACCTAAAGGATGAGAACATAGCTCATTATCGAAAGAATCTTCAACAAAAGCGTGCTCAGCACGTGTACAAGCCTCTACCAGAGCCTGTGGTAGAACACATGCGCGGCATACGGATGAAAGAGAGGAGGATGTATCAAATACTTGTAGAGCTGGCGCTCTACGTGACCTTCACCTTGGCCCTGGTATTTGTGACATATGGCCACCGAGACCCTATGGCATTCTATGTGACAAAGTCTACAGAAGATGTGTTTATCACAGTGGAGTATGCAGATGGTCCAGCCTTTGAAGAGGTGAGTTAGACGGGGCTGGATATTTCAAGGTACTGATAGAGATTTTAAAATCATTCAGTTGTAAGGAACTGATAGGAATTCTTCAAGACCTCCAGTATTTGCATGATGGCAATTCTTGAAAAGCTTCAGTTTCATTGTACTGATAGAGATTACACAGAGCCAGGTGGTAAAAGTTTGTTTGAGAGAATTTGATCATTACCGGTTCTGTAACAGTTGCAATCTGCTGTATAAACTATCACTTATCTGTTACATGTATTTTCACCATTCTCCCCAGGTCAGTGATGTTGATTCTATGTGGGAGTACCTAGAGGAGACATTTGTACCTTCCCTGTTCACCTCTACCTGGTACAATGGTGACAGTGTGACAGAGAGTGACACCCTGACAGCTGACATGGTGTCACTCCATGTAGGGGCAGCCAGACTCAGACAGCTGAGAGTGAAAGGTTAGATTTCCATAGTCTCTCTGTACTGTACAAAACTAGTTATTATATCTGTGAATTCAAAGTTAGGATCTCTCTGTCTCTATTTCTTCTGACATACAGATAGTGCATGCTCACTCACATACACACACACAAACACACATAAGGTATGTTATGACATTGTGAGAGTAGTCGTATAATGCAGTGCACCAAACCCAATATAGAGGTGCATTTCACATGCTGAAGTGTCCAAAAAATAAAATTAATGAATTCAAAGTTGTACTCAATTTTTTATTCATATATGTGTATAGATCAAAATTCCACAACTGTCATTATGCAAAGAACCCTAAATGGTAACGTACATTCTGGAAGCGTATGGTAACGTATGTTCAGGGTCATTTAATATTAATTTTTATAACGCATTCCAATATATTTTGTAGTGATTCAGTCATGGTAAATTATGCATGAAGTAAGGATGTTTTTATAAATGTTTAAACTGTAATTCATGGGGCTTTGCTTCATGATTAATACTGGGTAACATATGTACCCCAGAAAAATTATCAAAAATTTTCATTTTGTTCGAGTACTTGGTGCAAGAGAAAACAGCTGACCGAAAAACATATTGTGATTCCATAACAGTTTGGCATTTCTGATATAAAATGTGATTCAAAGTGGAAAAATAATTTATTTATTGTTTATTTGACTATCTGTAGGGTGTATTTTCCCGGTTTTTGTTTTAATTAATTGCTCTATACAGAAGATGATAATAATTTTTTACAAAGTAATACTTACAGGAGATAAATCAAAGAACAAAACCAGTGACGATTTAATTTTCAAAGTGGGTCAATTGTTTCACAGCCGGACACTTTGTATTTGTGACAGTAACGTACGTATGCTTCTTTTGGGGTATAGAAGATGAATTATTATTCATGGTTCCAGGAGAGTGAAACTTTGATACAAACTTCTTTATGTGGGACCCTAAAATAATCAAAAATAGTTCACAATCTGTGCACTAAATATTTTTAAAAGCATGCCTGTGACCTTTGTTGCACCTCTATATTGGGTTTGGGTGAGTAATGAGTTCATTGAGCTCCTGTATCATATCTCTTGTATTTCAGATGTCTGTGATGTGCCCCCCACCTTCCAGTCCATGATCCACTCCTGTACAGTGAGATATGAATGGGGCACTGATGACAGCAGGGACTATAACACCTCATGGACACCCCTGGTCAACAGAACTGACCACCCCACTGACCAGTGGACATACCAGTCTGCTTTCAAGCTGAGGTCACTTCCATTTGCTGGAAAACATGGCACTTACAATGGTAAACTATTTCTCCCTGTGACTACAAGTAGTGCATAATGATGGTTAAAGTCATGATAACTCTTCGTTTTGGCCAAAAATTGGATTGTCCTGGAGTAAACCGCAATTTTCCCGTACTTACCAATGGTCAACGACCCCATTCCTGCATTCAAAGTTAGTTCAGGGTTTTTTTCCTAAACGTTTGGTTTTTGGTTAAAATCTCTTAAGCCTTGACGACCGTGAAGAAAGGCATGGAAAGCCCTATTGACAAGCACAGATTTTAGTTTTACTACAATAACAGCTATTTTAGTGGTAAAATACAATAGAATATATCTCCATGTGTTGTTTACAATGTATTTCTTGCGGAATTTTGAATCTCAAAGGAAGAGTTATTATTGCTTTAATTCAAACTGCTACGGCTACTTGTGGCTTGGTTTTTCTAGAATAGCGTAAATGTTTATTTTAAAGTAATTAATTTGAAAATGTATGTTCTTTATTCATGCTTGCATTGCTTACTATTACTTATCCTCTTCAAGACTTGTCAGCATCCTTTGCCCTCTCCCTCTATCTTTTGCTGCTATCCTTGCTTTATTTGCCTTAACTTAGATATTTACTATATAAATATAGGTTTGTGTTTTTATTGGGCTGTCTTTGTTGAATCCGTACTAGACTGAATTTGTTGACTAGAAAAATACCAATGAAATGAAAATATTGATTAGCATGTGAAAGCAGTTTATTGGAATAATCCAATACACAACCAGGCATGTATCTTTTGAACTTGGAGGGTGCTTTTTTGGTTCAACTAAGAAAAAAAATTCTTTCTGTCCATACTGAAACAGTAATATGTTAGTTGGAGGATGTGTGAAACTCCTTGGTGACACCAGAGAAAAAAACCTTTCTGTTACTATATGATATTTTAGGTGGAGGATATGTGAAACTCCTTGGTGACACCAGAAATAAAAGCCTGTCAGTTCTTACAGACCTACAGGAGTTCAAGTGGATAGACCAGAGGACACGTGCCATGTTCCTGGAGTTTACCCTGTATAACCCCCAGGTTAACTTGTTCAGTGTGGCACAGTTACTATTTGAGTTCCACCCCACTGGGGCCATCTTCCCTTTCTATCAAATCTTTACATGTAAATTTTACCAATATGGGTAAGTTTCTACTGGGGCTGTCTTCCCTTTCTTTCAAATCTTTAAATTAAAAATTAATCAATATGGGTAAGTTAGCAGGCTATATTTCTTTTTTTTTTTTTTTAGTCTTCAGCAATGAACTATAATACTCATAAAGAACCAGTGTTGAAGATAAAGTGGAGGCTTAAGTGCTTATTTTTAGAATTTTTGGATTAACCAATAATAATAATAATAATAATAAATTGAGCACAGTAATGTTTTCACATTTAAAGGCTTTCTATCAGTATTAGTATAAAATGAAAAAAAAATAAATATAGTGTTATAAAATATACTTTATAAAACAATGCAAGTAAAGAGATACAGTTGAAACAAAATTTTATTTAGAGCAAATTTATAACAACAGCCCTGAAGTCAGTAGGTATACATTTGTTGCCAGAAAGGTGGTGATTTGATAAACCTTCATCATTAACTGTGAGTTTCTTTCTGTGAGTTTGATCAGGTATCAAGCTCTTTATTATTTATTTTTAATTTTATTTTCATTTCAGGAATGGGTTGGAAATCTTTGTCGCAGTTTGTGAAGTTATGTTCATCCTGTTTATACTGACATCCACATACAGAGAGTTCAGCAAATTCAGAAATACTGGTTCTAAGGAATACTTCTCAGATCCTTGGAGTTACATAGAGGTGGCAATTGTCTGCCTGGGATACTCAGCCATTGGTCTGTTTTTTCAACGTTTAGTCATAGTGAACTTCACCATTGCCAATTTCCATGAACATGGCAGAGAGGAATTTGTGAACTTTTTTCCAGCAGCATTCTGGGACTACATCCTGGGCTACACCTTGGCAGCCATGCTGGTGCTGACAGTGCTTAAGTTTTTCAAGCTGCTACGGTTTAATGTCCGCATGAACATGTTGTCTGCCACTTTGAAGAAATCTTGGAAGCCTACACTACATTTCTATCTAGTTCTAGCTTTCCTCATGATGGCCTATTCCTTCTTTGGGCAATGTGCTTTCGGTCACTACATCGAAAAATTTAAGTCCTTAATAGACACATTACAGACATTGTTCACTCTGATCATGGGAGGATTTGAGTTTGCAATTCTGGGAGACTCAAACCGTGTCATTGGTATTGTGTTTCTGATAACCTTTGCAATGATAGTCCAGGTGTCGCTGATCAATATGTTCATTGCCATTATCGACGAGTCATTCAGATATGTTCTGAAGGCCACCAAGGAGACGTCAAATGAGCTGGAGATGGTGGACTTTATGTGGACAAGATTACTGGTGATTCTTGGTCTCCACACAGGGGCAGGGGTCACCATTCCTTCCAGTATTGATTTGGAGACACTGCAACAAGAGGCTCAGGGTGAAGTTGGTTCAAATACAAACAGCTGACCTTTTTAAGGATTGATTTTTTATTTTATTTTTTCCCCTGAACAAATTGATGCTGCAGGAATAAAATAAACAAAACTGATTTTTAACTTATTCCACAAACAACTATTTTTTTTTTAATTTTGGCCACCACAAGAAGCTAACTTTTGGGATTTTCTGAACAAATTGATGTTCTAGAAATATGTTTGATAATTTTTGTTGGAATAATTCAATAAATGAGAATATTTGATATGCATATTGAGTATATGATCAGAGTTCTGTGTATAGTTGACTTATTATTGTCACTTGTTGAAAGCAGGAAATTGTATACCTTAAGTGAACCAGACTGTTTGTGGTCTCCACATGGATGTATATTTGTTTACTAGAAGCAGACTTAATTATAGTAAATGATTTAGTAAGTATTATTTATTTTCAACATCCACTCAAGTCACAGTTTGCATGATCAAAAAAAAAAAAAAAAGAAAAAAAAAATTAAAATAATGCCATTTAACTTAGAGACTTATTAGGTTAAATAAACACAGTTCAGATCTGTTAAGACAGAACTACTTCAGAAAGATATTGGTCTGACTTGAGTAATCATATAACCTTGGAGATCCAGGTGTTACATGTTACCAGTTAAACCAGTTTCTGGTGTGAAAATGTTAAGAAGTACACCAGGCCCCCGTTTCACAAAGAATCTTAAATTCCTAGTCGACTAGCTCGAGCTAGGTGACCTAGCTAGGTCGACTATGCTGCAGTCGACTAGGAGTGTTTCACAAAGAATCTAACGTCTTAGCTTGGCGTGCTTACCGTAGTCGACGCGCACGAGAAACTCTTCAAGAAAAGGAAGTGTAAAATTTGAAAAGTTTCACAAGACATGACGTTTCATGGCCTCTTTCGGAATGAACGTTTATCAACCTGAACGTTTATCAACAATAAAAATCAGCCAAAACACAAAGTTTGTTTTTGAACTTTATTGATTAGTTTAACTTCGATACAACTTCAAAGTAACAGTTAAACATTAGCTTGTCGTGGAACACTGTTGACGGACGTCTAGCGGTCAAAAACATAAACAAACACACGATGGGCTGGGTGAAGGGGCATTTTATTTTTTATGTACAGACACAGATGTGTCTGTACATATAGCCGTCATCTGCGTCTGTCGTCGCGGTCGCCGTTGGCGTGCACTTTAACCGTAAACACGATAAGTGGAAAACTGTTTTACCTTTTGGCTTGAAAGTTACAGAACTGATGAACATTCATAATACGCAGGTCAAGTTCGAAAATCAGCATGATTGGGTCATTTTTAAGGAAGTTATGCTTTTTTTTTTTCACTTTTTTCAGCATATATGCAACACCGTAAACACGTTAAGTGGAAAACCGTTTTACCTTTTGGCTTGAAAGTTACAGAACTGATGAACATTCATAATACGCCGGTCAAGTTCGAAAATCAGCATGATCATGTCATTTTTAGGGAAGTTATGCTTCTTTTTCACTTTTTTCAGCATATATGCAACACCGTAAACACGATAAGTGGAAATCGGGTCATTTTTAGGGGAGTTATGCTTTTTTTTTTCATTTTTTTCAGCATATATGCACATTGATAACACAATATAAGAAAAACAGATAGGCCAATGCATTGTCATTGTACTCGCAGGAGTGGTCAATCTTACTAAAACATAGTATGAAAATCAGCATAATCAGGCCATTATTTTAGAAGTTATGCTTTTTTTTTTCACATTTCCTCAGATTCAATTCTTAGGCATGTTAATAGTCTCATTATTGAACTAATAAGATACGTAAAAGTGTTTGTTTGATATTTCCTGCATCTTTACAACATTGTCAGTTGATTATGTAAAAATGATGGTAAACTTGTTATCATGTATTGTGTAATCAAGTGTCCAAAACGGAAATAAACTCATATCATTGCAGTTTGTCAGATTCAATCATCCACATCTGCCATGATGACCATGATGGGAAAACCGTGTTACTTATGATTGTCAAACTTTCAAAAAAGAAACACAGGACTAAAATGCAGCCCAAGTTGGAAAAGCAGTCTAATGGGCTTCTTTTTCTGGAAGTTATACATTTTAGTGAAATATTCATTATCTTTTTGGCATATTCATTGTGGGACTCGGAGCTCCCATGGACATGAAGCCGGATGGTAATCAAATTTTCTACATGTTCATGCTATTTATAGTCAATAATCAAAAATTGGTGATAATTATTCTATAATTTATTATGTAATGTTACATCAAAATTGACAATAATCTTTTTGCACTGCTACTGCAAACATTATGAAAAGAAAACTGTGTTATTTATTATTATATTTAACTTAAGAGTATGATTTTTAGGATTGGCATGCAGTTCAAATTAGAAAGCCAGGTCAATTGGGTTATCATTTATTATTGAATTTAATGCAATTTTGTGTGAAATTTCATTTTTCTCATTCTGGCACTTTCTAAGTATAAACTTGAACTCTGATGGGCCTGAAGCCTTATGCTTTTACTCTCATCGGTGTTACCTGTTGTGCAAAATTAAAATTTGATGTTGACTGTGCAGTTAAACATAATGTATTATTGCATCAGAAGTGGTAGTCTCCTATTTTGTGCATTATTGTTTTGTGCTCTTCTTAAGTTGTGACTTATGGGCCTGAAAGACCTTTGAGAGGGTCAGTCTATAAATTTCCCTTGGGTATCACTTCGCTAATTTCAGTTATAAAGTAATTTGCCTAATTGATAGGCTACATAAAGCACACTTGTGATTTGAGATTACATAAAGCACACTTGTTGATATTTCCCTGTAAACTCCCATAGGTTAAGCTCTCTGCTAGATTAATAATAAGGAAGCAGTGATAATTATGCAGGTAAATTTTGTTTAATATTGCAAATAAGTTTTATATATATATATATATATTTTTATATATATATATATATATATATATATATATATCAAACTGAAAGATTAAAAGTTTGAATAGCAGCTTCATTGGAATTATATTTACCTCTGCCAAGGAGGTTATATTTTCACCCCTGTTTGTCATCAACATAACTCAAAAAGTTATGGACCGATTTTGCTGAAATTTTCAGGAACTGTCAGAAGTGGGCCAAAGAGGACAAAAATCAATAATAATCAACAATTGCTACCTTGGCAGAGGTCTGCACTCTCGGAGTGCTTTTCTAGTTTTGTTGTTTTCCTTTATAATTTTTTCTCAAACACTTGCATTTGTGACTTTAAACTCTCATCCGCCTGAGACTCTGACATTTCTGTTTTTCCACATAAGCAGTTGTATTGTTTTTTATGTCTTTAAACATTATGTTACTTATGTAATATTATTTTATGCACTGTCATCATTTTTCAAATATTGAGACTTTCATCATGTGAATTTAAACTCATGGTCCTGAAACTGTAATCTTATTGAAAGGGTAGATTGAGACCATCTTCTGGGTCTTCCGGAAGACAGTCAGGTTATTAAGTTTATATTGCCTGGTATCTATTTTTTCTTCTGTTGGAAGACCATCAAAATGGAGGATGGATCAAAATAGATACTTTGGAATACTGTCAGAAAATATCTCTGGGTCCGCTCATGTTATTGACCATTTTACCTGTTGTGCATGATTAAAATTCAGTGTTGACTGACAGTGCTATTATAAGCATTATTTATTATTGCATCCAAATTGACAAAATGACCTATTTTGCATCTTTATTTTCTGTTTTTTGTCTGTACATTTGACACCTTTGCTGCCTTGTTATTTCAATATTCCATAAATGTCAGTGCTATTCAAGGATATTATGACACAGTATCTTGAAGGAGGTATGTTCTTTCCAAATTTTAGTTGTTTATGCTCTCATTTACTGAGTTTTAGTTGAGCTTGCCGACTTAAGTCTCCTCCCGAGGAGGCTAGACATCGTCGACTAGCAGCTAATAAAAAAACGACGTAAGCGACCTTTTAGATTCTTTGTGAAACGGGACTTAGCGACTTAATTACGTTGGTAACCAAGTTCTTAGTCAGGGAAACGGACTTAAGTTTTTTTGTGAAAAGGGGGCCAGATCAAGAGAGAAAAATTGGCACAATAGTTGCCCATACTTTATATTGTTGTTATTATTATTTTATTTAGTTGTTGTTGTGACCCCTCAGTTTTAAATTTTAATGTATTTGTGGGTATTCTTAATATTGTATTTTATTCTAATAATTTGAGATTCACTTTAGTCTTTTTAAATTTAGTGTCATGATTAATGTTATCTTTCCTGTTAATTAAATTTAATTGCAGGTTTTGTAATACTGGACTAATTATAAGGTTTAGAAACTTTTTTCTTATTTTTATGGAATTTTTACATGTTAGAGAAACGTTTGGTATGAATATATTAAGAAATAAACTGCAGTTATGTTTTTGTTGGTTATATTGAATGTTTCACATGGTTATACTCCTGCACAAACAATTGACATGAAAATTATTTTATCAAAGATAATTATTGGCTGTACATTTTTATTGATAAAAACCCCGCAAAACAAATGCTCTGCTAAATCAGTCCTGCAAAGTGTTCATTACTTTATCAGGGATTAGGTTGGGTCACGTTTTTGCGCTAATAGCGCATACATTTACCAAAAAGTGCAACAGGTTATTGCATACGCGCTAAAAATAGCGCATCCTGATACAGAATGTACGGTAGTTGATGTTTTGTAAATAAGTTTACTGTGAAAGATGGCCTGTCAAAGAGATGTTAGCAGTGTAACGTACGTGAAACTTTAAGGAACATATTAAACCACTACAGCTTTAGTATAATTCATAACAGGCAGGGTCTGCGCATTTACACGAGTCATGCCCTGCAATGTGAGGGTTACTGTCGAGATCGCCCGGAAAACTGTTGAGGAAAATGTTTAGTATTGCTCGACAAATCCATAATGAAATAAGTCAATTAAGTTGTCTAGCGAGATATATGATGCAAGCACGATCCACAAGGTTTTAATTAGGTGAAACGATCTAATTAGATGATTCAACGAGTCCTTTACCGAATTACATAA